TCCTAAAGAGTGTGGCCCAGTCAAAAGATCACACTGGGCCATTTCTAGGAACAATTGATTACAATCTTTTAACAAAATGGCTGTTCTAAAATCCTATATATCTATTTTAATTTCTATAAAAGTTTCTAATTCCTAATCCTAATATATAAAGCTGATCATCAGCAATAAAGCTTCTAAAAATAAAACCCAAATATAAACCGTAAATTGTATTAAAGCCAAAACCACAAATGTAGAAAATGGAAACAATGAAATTTCTAAAGTTAGCTGTATTCTTATTAAACCTTAAAATATCATGTTTGATCATGCTTGAACTAACATAATTCACTGACGTAGCATAACCTATTCTTCAATACTTTCTATGAATAAAATAAATTCAATTTCTATAATAAGTAGAAAAACTCTACATTAACTGTAGCTAAAACCAGTTTAAAAGAATGCAGCCCAGTCCAAAGTATGCACCAGGCCCTTAGGAATGTGGCCCAGCCCAAAGTTCGTGCTGGGCTATTTCTAGTAACTCTAGATAATCATCTATACCATCTAAAGTTGAAAGTAGCTCTCCATATGTATATACTAATTCTACAAATATACTTTAAAATCTTATAAAGAAGCTTGTACCATATTAAAGGTTCCCAAATGTGACCTGAGTTTGAACTGTGTTAAGTTTAAAGCCGAAACTGCAGTCTGTGAGAAACGGGAACAATGGACTCCTAAAGTAAGCCATGCCTGTCGTACTCTCAGAGCTTCATGCTTAGATCATCAAAGTTCCTTCTAATGAGGTGTGCTGAATAGCAAAAAAGGAGGAGGGAATGGACCAACATCTCCTAAACACATCCTAGTGGTCTCAGGGTCCACAGCCCACCTTGATCCCTAACATTCAGGTGGGTCTCCCTGGCCGGCTCCCAACACATATGGAGTCCACTCTTCTATAAGGTAAATAAAACAAGGGAGATAGAGAGATAACATCTGAGGGCAAAGTCCCATCAAAGAAAGGTGCAGGGGGTTCTTTTTAAGGATGAGAGGATGGAAACACATTTTTGCAGTCTTTGGGTCTGAGAGAAGAAATGAAGAGTTAAGAAGGTACTAACCAAGAGAAGACAAGGCTTGAGACCAGAATTCGGCTGGCTTTTTCTGTAAATAACCAGGCAGTAACTATTTTAGGTTTTGCAGTCTAAGAGGCAAAATTGAGTCCATTATATAGATACTTACATAATAAGAAAGGAAACCAGTATCTACAAATCTTTAATGATGAATTTCAAAATGTAATAAAAATAATTGAATATACTCTTTTGTTATGCAGATTTAATAATAAAAAGAATGGAGTTCTTTTTTTAAACAACATTTTGTTGCACGGGGGTTCAGAGTTAATGCTCTCTAAGATCAAATCAATTGCAGTATTAATCTAGAAAAGTCATTCTCAGCTTGTGGGCTGCACAAACAAAAACAGGCATCGGGTTGGATGTACGCAAGGGTTTGCAGACCCTGTTGTGTGTGTGGCTTCTCCCTTAGTGAGTAGTGGATGGGTGGATTGATGCAGGTCCTTCACAAGCTCTGATGCAGTTCACTCTTTGCCCGGGGACAGATGGGGTACCAGTTATGGCATCATAACCTGCTCTGTGCTGGAGTGAGTCACTGCATTTGAGGACTGGGAGGCCCCATCACTGGAGCAGAACTCAGAAGAGTCAGTGAGCTTCAGTCCAGTCAGGGTGAGGTAAAGAGAAGGCCAGGAGGTGGAACTCGAGTTGGCTTGTGTGTGACAGTGGGTGGAAGTGTGGGGGTGAGACTGAGTTGTGTTGGGGATGGAGTGGCTCCCTCTGGCCTCCCTTTCTGCTAGGTGATTTCCTACTTAGCCTTCACGACTCAACCCAAGCCACCTCACACCTGGAGAGCCCACTGCCTCTGCCCTACTAAGACAAGACCTTCTCCTAACATGCACCTCCCTCCAGAAGTCAGGGACTGTGTCTTATCCCCTTTCCTTTCCTGAGTCTTTGAGATGTTGGCACAAGCTATTCAGTAGATATTTCTGGAATGAACGGATTGTTTCTGTTTTCACAAGCTGACGGTCCCTGAGATGGGGCAGATGGAGGGGCCGGGGCAAATGAGCATTTCAGGATTTGCTCTGTTAAACTTGAAATGTCCGTTAGATCGGCTGGGGATGGTGAGCCGGTGGCTGGAAATGTGAGTCAGGAGTCTGGGGGAGAAAGCTGGACTGGAGGTAGAAATCAGAGGTTGTCAGCCTAGGAATGTGTTTAAAGCAAGGTGGTCACTAGGCGTGTGTACAGAGAGACAAGAACTGTCCTTGGGCTTGCTTGAAGCTAACGGCTGGGGAGATGAAGAACTGGCAAAGGAGATGGAGAGGAAACAGCCAGGGAAGCCAAGGAAATCCAAGTACTTGGGTTTCTGGAAGCCATGGGAAGGTGTTTCAAAAAGAACTGTGTCCAGAGCTGCTGAGAGCGAGTAGGGTGGGAGCTGAGAAGGGACCGTGAGATTTAGCAGCATGGTGGTCATGGTGCCTTGACAGAAGCTTTTTTAGAGTGAATGCCTCCCTGAGATGCTTGGGAGAGAATGAGAGGAAGGGATCAGAGCAAGTGAGTCTACACAGACTTGAGTTTTGCTGTCAACTGTGAGTCAATAGTTGGGGCGGTCTATGGGTGGACATGCTGTGGAGAGCTATTATGGCACATTGCTGTGCTCCTAGGAATGATTCTGCAGGGGGAACTGTTGATAAAGGAGCGTGGGGAACAACTGCTGAGCAACACCTTGAAGATCTGAGGGGGGCTGGGATCCAGGGCACCGTTGGAGGAGATGGGTCAGGTGGCAGCGGGGGTGGTTCATCGTAGGAAGAAGGGGGAGGACGAGAGTGTGAGCACAGATGGGAGGTGGGGGTGTGTGGTGGTGGCAGCTTTTAGAGGTTCTTCTCTGGTTGCTTCCATTTTCATGGTAAAACAGGAAGCTGAGAGTGAGGTCGGGGAGGAGGTGTGAGTGATTTGAGGAGGAAGGAGCAGGTAGGAAATCATTGTCTAGCACGATGTGGCAGTGAATGGATTTATGCCAGAACATCCATCTGATCACCTGTACCTGCATAGCCTGCTCCTGACCTCCCTGCTTCTGTCCCTGGCCCCAACCCTCTCAGCCTATCCTCCTCAGAGTGGCAGTTGATCCTTGTAACAAGAAGTCTGATCACATCCCTTCCCTGCCCAAAGGCTTCTCATCCAACTCAATAGAAAGAGCTGAGTTTTCCAAAGGGTCTTCCAAGCCCTTCAAGGCCTGGCTTCCTGTCCTCTCCTGCCACCCTCAGTACCTGTCGCTGTTATAACCAGAGAGTGAGAAAGGAGTCGCCATACACTGAGAATCGAATTTTTGAGTCCTTTAATAGTCAGCGGTTGAGAGAGGGCTCATGCCTGAGAAACTCTTGACCCCGAATGCAGCAAGCCAGGGGTTTATAAGGGCAAAACCCGCAAGGAACTAAAAACAAAAGCAACAGGGAACTAAAACAAAAGGGAATAATTACTTGGTGCAACATGTGATTTCAGTTAAGTAAAGGTACGATTAGAATGAGAAACTCTTGACTAGGGAGTTTTCAAACACCAGGGAGACAAGCCAAACACCAGGGGAACAGAGGACTGGAAGAAGGATGTGGGCTTGTGAGTACGGGAAGGTTGCAATGATCACACGCAGGGAGGTTGCATATGGATGAGCTGGCAGCTAAGATGGAAGACTTTTAACAAAATGTTGTTACTCATGTTAAGCAAGATATTATAGGCTATTATAAGTTTTACAGATATTTTGCGACCCTCCCCTGGCTCACTGCATTCCAGCCACACACTGCTGGTAGTCTTTCTACTTAGAGCCCCACCCACTTGCTGTTCATCCTACCTGGAATGCTCTTGCCACAGGTGTCCTCACAGCTCCTCCCTCACTTCCTACAGGTCTCTGCTCAAATGTTCTTTATTAATTGGCAAGAAATCTCTGACTCCCTCAAATAAAATAGCAGCTCCTTCCCTAGCCCGGGGCTACCTGTCTCCTCTCTGCTGTTTGATTTTTTCCCACCTAGCACTTAGCACCATGCATTTGCTTGTTTATCGGCTGTCTCCTTCATTCAAATGTAAGATCCATGAGAGCAGAGTCTCTGTTTTCCTTACTGCTGTTTTTTGGGATAGTGTCTGGGAGGGCATCTGATTCCTATTCCTAGAGGCCACCGAATAAACATGTGTTGACTGAATAAAAGGGAAGAAGGATAAAAAGATGGATGGGTAGAAGGAAGGAAGGAAGGAAGGGTGGTTTTGGGTGGATGGGTAGATGGATGGATGAATGGAAGGAAGAAAGAAAGGATAGTTGGGTGGGTAGATGGAGGGAGGGAATGGAAGAAGGAAGGGTGGTTGGGTGGGTAGATGGATGGATGGATTATAGTCATCGATCAATCGGTCATTAAGTTATGACTAGAATGAAGATATTCATGTCTGCATGAGCTATTAAACTTCATCCCAAGGAGAAATTTCTAAGAACAATTTAAAAATAGAAATATATTTTCTTACCCACTGAATAGTCATTGGGAAGATTTCTTTCTTTCTTTTTTTTTTTTTTTTTGAGTTGGAGTCTCATTCTTGTTGCCCAAGCTGGAGTGCAGTGGCACGCTCATGGCCACCACTGTGTCAACTTGCTGGACTTCGGCGATCCTTCCGCCTCAGCCTTCCAAGTTGCTGGAACTATAGATGTATGCCTCCACGCTCGGCTAGTTTTTGTGATTTATTGTAGAGATGAGGACTCACCAAGTTACCCAGGCTGGTCTTGAACTCCCGGGCTCAGGCAAGCCCCTCGCCTCAGCCTCCCAAAGTGCTGGGATTACAGGCTGAGCCGCTGCGCCTGGCCAGGATTTCTAAATCTAATGAGTCATAGGGATGAATTCGGCAGCCCCCTGCTGCTCCAGATAAGGATAGAATGCCCTAGAAGTCTTTCTTTCCATCTGAGAGCTTGATGTGCACCTGTCTTCTCTTCCCCGCCAGGATCATTCCTATTTTTCTTATCCATCGGCCTGAGAACAATATCCCATATGCAACCGTGGAGGAGGAGCTGATTGGAGAATTTGTGAAGTATTCCATCAGGGATGGGAAGGAAATTAACTTCTTGAGAAGAGACTCGGAGGCTGGTCAGAAGTGTTGTACCTTTCAGCACTGGGTATACCAGAAAACAAGCGGCTGCCTCCTGGTCACGGACATGCAGGGTGAGAGAGCAGCTTGCCCAGGGCTCCAGGGATACTGTGGGTCTGGGTGAAGCTAGGACTAGGGAGGAAGGGAAAACAGGGAGGGGAGTAGGGAGGGAGGGGAGGGGAGGGTAAGGAGAGATCTGCTGGGTGCCCTGAATTCACAAAAAGTGTGACTAATGTCTCATCAGAAACAAGCTTTGACAAAGGAGCTGCAATGGCCAGCCAGATGATTTAATAAAGTTCATTTTAATAACTCATGTCAATAATGCCTTCCTGTTACAACAGGCAACCATGGGTTGACTTTATTCTCAGTAGAGGCAAACTCAGAAATAGATATGAAAATCCACATCTACCAAAAGATGGATTAGATGCAGTATTTCATTCTCAGTAGGTGAAAAGGCCTTTAGAATGCTTTAGGCGTGACGCTCCCTGCCAAATGTAAAACATGTTTGCAATGTACACAGAAGCTTTAAAAAGACCACTGTTTGTACGAAGCGGAGATGTCATAATTAGACAGACACGAGACAATACTCAAGTAAAAATGGCTTATTTGGGACGGGATCCCAGCCCAGGGGAGGGGAAGTGTGGTGTGGAGGGGAGGCAGCTGATATGGGAAAGGTGTGTTATTATGCAGACAGCGCCAGCGGAGATGATGCCTGCTGGGAGCATATTTCCCAGTGAGGGAGCTGGGGTGTGTATACACCAGCCCCCAGGGATCACCAGCTGATGGCTGCTGCTGGTGGGGGCATTGACTCCCTGCGCTTGTCACCTACTGCATGGGCAAGCTCAGCTGGGCAAAACATGATCTGAGAAAGTTCTCAGGCGAAGAAATGCTGGTGGTGGCACCTGGAGGTAAATCCAGGCGCCCAGAAGTGGATGGGGTGTGAGCAACGGGTAAGACACAGGCAGCTTTTGCTGCAGGGGGCTCCCTATTTCTGTTTCTTTCCAAATAATAACACGCAATCTGAACTATATTATTGCATGCCCACTAAATGTCAGATATTGTCCCAGACAGGGGTTCCAAGCTGTAGCTATACCGTAATACTGAAGAGTAAGAGCTTCTGGCTTCTGTTCCCTGCACTGCCACTCCTGAGCTGTTAGCCACTGGGCAAACGATCTCCCCCTCTGTGCTTCAGTAATTTGCACGAGTTGTTGTGAGGATTAAATGAGATGGTAAAACATTGACTGCCTCAATGCGGGGGTCCACCCCACAAGGGTCGTGAGATTTCCTGAAGGAGAGACGGAAAGGCGAAGGACAAAAATATTATACTCGGACACCTGCTTCCTGAACAGATGACGTTTAATGTTAGTTAACACAGAGCTTTTATACCATTTGTAGAGGGGCAAGACAAAGAAAATTCCTTCACGTACATATCTTCTAAAAGTTACCATCTAGTGGTCTTAGCAACAAACAAACCAAGATCCCTTTAAACATTCAGACAACAAGTCTTATTCATAAAGCCAACAATGATACTTTTAGTCCAAAGTCCTGAATTATAGTCCTTGAACTGTCTCCAGAAAGTTTCCAAGTGTAAAGTTCTTCATGTAGTAGTAATTTTTCTTCTGGGGCTTTTATTAGCTTCAGAGCTTTGTAATCACCTTTCTTGTCTAGGTGTCTTCGTTACTTTTCTCTTGCAGTGTTTATTTCTAAAGAGAACTCAAAAGAAGCTTTTAGTAATGTTTTCCAGCAACCCCCCAAGGTTGCTTTCTGTCTTTAGCTAATTTATCATAGAAGTTTCTGATTAGTATATTATGAGTTCAGTGAAAACTCACTCTATAAATGTTAACTTAGAGTTTTAACTATTGAACTAAGTAAAAACCTTGATTAATCTTTATCCTAGGTCAGTGAAAACAGTGTTATAAATCATCTACATAACTCCTAGATAAGTGTTAGAATTTATAATGAATTCATAATGAACTTACTATAAACTTGTGCTTCTAAAAAACCTTATGTCTAAACACTAAACTACATAATTCTAAATCAAATAAGGAGTGAATATACTTATATCATTTATTACTTAAGCAATATCTAGTAACTTATAACCAAGTGAAAGAAATCATTCTTGATGTGCTTCAGAGTTTAACCCTTGCATATGTTAGAAAAGGCCAAACGGCATAGTGGGAAATGGAAAAATAAACCATGACATTTCCAGGTTAGCTATGAGTACTTTACATAAATATGCCATTTTCTTCTTCCACGACTACACAGAATTCTTTGGCAGTATCAAACAGCAAAGGTGGAAGACAGAAGGGCCTCAGCTTCCCGGGCTCGCCCTGTAGCCCGGGGTCTTCAGCCCACCAGGACCCACCAGGTGGGCCACCAAGGCCGGCTCCCAACACCGCATGGCCACCTAATGAATGTTCTTGATTTTTTTAACTCTTTATTTTGAAATAATTATAGGTTTGCAAGAATTCGCAAAAATACGTGGAGGTGTCAACATACGCGTCACCCAGCATCGCCTGATGGTGACATCTCGCAAAACCATAATCCAGGATCAAAACCAAGAGTCTGACACGAGTGGGATATAGTTAACCAGACCATGGACTTCCCTTGGGTTTCACCAGTTTTTGCTCGCACTCATTTTCTCTATTATTATTTTTGGGAGGGGGCAGCCCCCAAACGGGAATGGGTTCAGGCGGATACCCTTTTTTCTGATCATTTTAATTTACTCTTCATAATAGCACCGCAAAGAAGACATTAGGATCTCCAGTCAGCACATGAGAAAATTGAGGCCTGGAGACAGTGATGTCATTGGCTTCCGCGACCAGGTCGTGCGAAGAGGGGGCTAAGACCCCAGTCCACATTTTCTGACTCGGAATCCCAAGCTTTTCCCACTCAGTAGCAAGTTAACACATTTGCAAGAGATTTCCTTTCTGACCCTTCCACGTGCTTCCTGAGGTCAGAAGGCTTTGTCCCGTGTGTGTGCGGTTCCTCCACCTTCTCACTCTCCTGAGGCCTCCGTGCCAGCCAGCTGGGAACTGTGCCTTGACAGGCTTGGAGATGGGGGTCGATCTGCAAATTTAAGGCAGACGTAGCTGCTCACTCTCTGAAGAGACATCACGGATGCCCACATATGTGCAAAGTACGGTCTTAACAGACAACTGTTTATTCCACTTAGACTCTGTGCAATTGTTGCTGTGCCCCTATCTTTTCGACTTCAGAATTAATTTTGTATTAAATATAGTTCTCCTACCCCAAAGCAACAGCATGGCACTTCACATACAGCTAGTTTCGCTTCCAGGCACTAGAAAACAACCATGGTGGAATATTGCATCTCTCGGTAAATATGGTTTAATGCGGTGATGCCGTGTTTCGTAACGGTATTTGTTTACTCTGCTGCTGGGAACATTCTTTTTATTGTGGCATGAGATAGCATATCCTTTCTCTAAGTAATCTTTTTATAATTTGACTAAGACATTAGAATTAGAATTAAAACAAACAAACCCGAACTTGGGCTCTTAACAAGTTACCCACTCCTGGCTTTATTTGCTTGTTTATAAGATCGTGCCAGTGTTATGGTCTACTAATAAATCAAGGCGGGGAACTGGTAGAAAGAAGTTTATTTCTGAGTTTGAATCCAGGGAGCAGAGCCAGACTTGAGGTCTTTCTAAAATGGTTCTGCTTACACTCCAGGCTTTTACGACTCACTTTTATAGGTCCAGAGTGGTTAGTACCTAGACATTAGCCATGTGACCAGCAGAGCAATGTATAGAACTTGAGTTTCAGTAGCATTTATTGATGGTGACATTTTTTTGGTCCAGACTTCCTGGAGCCGATATCAGAGGTATCTCATAGCTTTTATCAGAACAGCCCGGCAGAAGCATGAATCAAACTTGCCATAGAGTAAAGGGAGTTTACAAAGCCTAAGACATCATGCGTTATGCAAAGCTATTCAAATCACAAGACTTACGACTACATTGATACTATATTATTCAAACTTATAACCACTCAAGAAAAGGGAGTACATGGCGATTTGCATCTTTTAGTTGATGGGGCATAGACTACAGGGAAGTCAAGGATCCCCTGAAGCTACTTACTGGGAGTGCATGGGAGATAAGGGGAAGTGCACCTTTTATTAGCTCTCAGGAATACTGTTTGGGGAAGTACAGGAGTACTTGAGCCCGTGTCCTTCTCTAGGGGCTGTGACAATATGGACAGACATTAGCGGGTCTCTGTGTCACCAGGTTTGTGGAGTAAGAGGTGAGCCTAAGATTTGGACTTAAGACCTGTACCTCATGAGACTGCCAGGGTTTCTAAGAAGGTGCCACCCCCAAAACCCCAAAACTCAAATTCTAGAGAACAAACTTTGAATGCTGCCAACTTCCTTCCTTCCATCAGAAACAACCTACAGACTACTAATATGCCCAACTCAGTTTGTTAGCTGATACTAGAACTTAACTTACTACTCTCCTACTCTCTAGAGACTCTTAATAACCTTCCTTGGTTGAATGACTGGCAAATTATTAAACCAAGAGGGAGAAGTTTCCTTTGAAAAATTATATCCTATCTTTCTAAACTGTAAGTGACAGCTGGTAATTGCGAGAAATGAGAAAGCAATTCCCCAAGTTCAAGAATCTTTTGCCAAATGACTTTTTAAAATCGGATTTCTAGGCAGCTTAGAGCTGTGATTTTTAGACAGCATTTTCCATGAAACAAGATGTCCGAAGAGGGCTTTTGCAATTTTTTTTTTTAAAAACGTAATGCCTTCAATACAAGCTATGGGAAGCATTTCTACATATGTTTGAGTTGTTAGCAGCTTTGAAAGGATGAGATGAATTGGTTACCAACTGCAAAAGAGGCTTTTGGAATGCTCACTGGCTTCTCCAAAGTGCCGCATCTAATTTAGCTCACAGATGCGGGGAAGCAGGCCTCATCGCTTCTGTCTGACTAGCCAGTCTGAATAGCAAATGGCCGGGATTTTGGCCATGCTCCTGGTGGACACTGCTGAATCAGAGCACTGACCCTTCTGCTTTCCTTTTCTAGGCCTCAGAAAACAGTGATCAGAGGGGTGGGAGCCGTGGAAAACTAGGTTGTCATCAGATCTGAGGTCCTCGTGGGTGCCTTTGGGGGGATGCTGGCTCCTTCTTCCACAGCCCAGACCAGTTTATAGGCTGCCAGATCCCTCTGTGGGCAGGTCCCCTGCTGGCAGGGAGGGATACCAGTGCTCACAGCCCAGCCCATGGAGGACAAGAGTCAGGGGCAAGAGCAGAGGAAGTGAGGCCCAGGCCGGGTGTCTGTCAGGTGCAGGCACACTGGTGGGTGGCACTGCGGGCCTGCGATCATCCCTCTAGATCGCATGGGTGAGGTCTTGGCAGAGGTCTACCTCCTGGTGTGAAGCAAGTGCCCAGAGTTACCGCCCTAGGGAGACAGGAACGGAATTGGTAGCTGGTGGGGGCATGGAGAGTCTGGCAAGGGCTTGGAGGCCATTCACACTCTGGGCATCAGGGAGGTTTTGTTACTTCCTGCTGAACCCTGGAGAGGTCAAGGATGTGGCTGAGGGTGGGTGGAGTGAGAGAGGGTGGCTCTTTTCTGCTGCTGAAGCGGATGGTAGCTCTTGTCTCCCTTGAGGTGGAAGAAAGTAGGATGGTCCACTCTTTCCATTCCTAGTTCCCAGCTCCCCCTCTCAGCTGTTCCTGCTGGAAAGGCAGATGCAAAATGACTCCTCTGGGTTTGGGAGTCCACCAGGGATGCCCGTGGCTCTTTGCTGAGGGGAGTGGGATGTTCAGGTAGCTGTTTTATTGTTTTGGTCTTGGTGCCTCCCTTTCACCATGGTTTACTGAGGAAAGATGAGAATAAGAGTCAAAGGATCAGACTGTGCCTTCCAAATGTCAGGGTTCCCAGGCCACTGGTTCAAAGTCTACATACAACTCAGGATTGTTTCCCTGGGTCTAATGCTGAGCCAGAAAATCTCCGGTCCTGGATGGGAAAACTCCTTTTATGGAGATAGGAAATCACGTGTCTGGAGTTGGCCTTGAACTGAACAAATGCCGCCTTGAACTCTCTCACTGCTGCCATTAACCACCCCAGCCCATACTCACTCCTCTTCCCACGGTGAAAGGGCCTCCATTTTCACTGAGGAATGGGAGGCCAGACCGACCTAAGGTGAAGTCCGAGTGCTTCTGGGAAGAGAGCTCATGGGACAAGCCACGGGTCTCGGACCTCTGTCACGGGATGGGGTGGGCCGTGGTGGGGGGAGAGGATGCCATTTCTAGAGCTGAAAGGGCTTGAGTTGCTTGCTGGCACGAGGCCCAACTCCCCCCTATGCCCTCTGAATCTAGACGCGTATCTGAACCAAAGAGGAACGTGTGAGTCACTCCCCCTTCCTGGGGGATGGATGGCTCGTCCTTTCCGAGGAACCCCTAGTAACCCAAACTCCGTCTTTGCTCTCTCTTCCTGTAGGTGTAGGAATGAAGCTAACTGACGTTGGCATAGCAACGCTGGCTAAAGGGTGAGTAAGGAAAGCCGCAGTGCACCTCCTTGAACCCAGGGCTTCTAGACTCCTCCCACGGTGAAAGGGCCTCCGTTTCCACTGTCAGGCCGAGGTGGGCAGAGTGGATTTCTGTTCCCATTGGTGGATGATAAGTGTTCTTGGGATGAATCCAGTTCATTTCTCTCACTTACATGAAAGGTTTATGAACTTTGTTCTTGCGGGGAAACACATCTGCTTCCTAAATTTGAAACAGATAAGAATTCTTGCAAACACATTTCGAGACTGATGACTAGGAGTCAGGCGTGCCATGGGGGAGGAGAGGGATGCCAGCGATAGTGGGATGCCTTTTAACCATGAATGTTCCGTTCTTCTACATTTCATATCGTCGCTATTCTGAGCCTCTGTGAAAAAAAAATTATTTTTGCAGTTGAGTGCAATGAATTCCATTTGTATCTTTTAAATCTATTTTTCCCCTAAAAGTTCTTGAGGCAGCTGACAGGCTCCCAGGATGAATATCACAGGAACAAACGGCTATTGCAGAGCTGTGATTAGTTGTGTGTTGTTATCGATGGTTTTGTTTTCCTAATTTAGAGCATTGTTTCACTCAGTGTATGACATGCCCAGATCATGCTACGATACATTTTGCCAGGGTATCTTTTTATTTTTTATGTTTATTTTTGATTTATTGTAGAGATGAGGTCTCACCAAGTTGCCCAGGCTGGTCTTGAGCCCGTGGGCGCAGGCAATCCTCTCACCTCGGCCTCCCAACGTGCTGGGATTATAGGCATGAACCACTGCGCCCGGCCGATATCTTTTGAACAAACTGCCTCTTCTCGCTTCTTTACTTGACCGCCACAAAGGAGAAAGCCAGACATTTGTGACTCCTGGTGAAAACGAAATTCTGTGTTGGAGCTACTATTGCCTTTGCTCCTGCTTGTCCCATTTACTAAGACCATCTGTAGGGAGAAGGAAAAGGGGGAATATGACTCTTGGAAGGGATGGCTTATTTTAAGAGTCGGGATTTATTGTTATCAGGTATGGTGAGGCCAACAGATTGGGAGATGATTACCACTGGAAAGCTAGTTTGTGACACACAGTTCCCCCACAAGGAGGGGTCGCACCATGCCACCCGGGGGGCCGCATGGGAAAGTACCAGGGTCAGTCAGGAGGCAGAGGAAGAGAGGTGAGGACACAGGCAGGAACCTTTCTTGTGGCTTCTTTGGGAAGGCATGGGTGAGGTCAGGTCAGCAGGCTTAGGATCGGCTGGTTTGAAATTTTTCAGCGGGCTCTGGGGCGTCGCGGCTCTTTCTAGTTGGCTGGTAGTTGCCCTGAGGTGATTAGGGCTTGAAGACTGTGGCCCTGAGTGTGGCAGGGAAGTGGGGGGTGGGAGGGTTGGGGGGTGCTTAGAGGAGGTCGTGGGAGTGTGGGTTCTGGATCGGCGGCTTTGCATCAAAGCTTCCCCGGAAGGCAGTCATTTTATTTCGAGGAACTGGTGGCCCTGAGAGGGGCAGCCTGTCCAGGACCAATAAGGCCCCCGGGTCCAAGCATCAGAAATAGAGAATAATGGCATGATGAATACAGCTTACTCTCCCACCGCAGGGAACGACTTCTCTGTGCAAGCTTTCTGGTTGTTTCACAACATCCTCAGCATCACTGCTCTCACAAATATGCTACTTTTCAGCTTGAATGAAGGACAGAGAGAAGTAGAGGAGTTTGAAAAGGGTAGAACGGGGATCATTCTTCCTCTTCACCTCCAGATCAGTGTGTCTGATTCATGAAGTTCTCACTGATGGTATGAAGCTCCCCATTTGGTTTTGGAAACAAGATGCAGTTTGGAAACTTTCCACGATGTGGATCAGTGATGATAAAGTTTGATGTTGGAACTGTCTCCAAGCTTCTCCCCCGAGCCGACTGGAGCCCTGAGTATCATACGCTTCAGCGAATTTGGCATGGCCCAGGGCTTGTTGAGAGAGCGTGCTGGGGGTGGTTGTGATATAGTAGGGAGATGGGAACAGGGGTTTGAGAGAGAGAGAGACTCAGTTCATATCCCGGCCCTGGCACTTTTCTTTTCTCCTGGTGGTAGCCTTGCTTCTTGGCATTACAGGAATTTGTCAAGCCTGTCTTACGCGGAGGATAACCAAATGGCACCGTTTCCCCTTGACAGTACCATTTTATGCCGATGTCCTCACATCTCATTCGGTTGAGCATTTGTTCTGGACAAGTGTCCCCAGTTTAGAGGATAAATTGTATAGTGTCCTATTGCTGTAGACCTCTGGACTCCAGAAGGACTTCCCAAGCGGAACCTTCCTTTCCAGCCTGCCTGACCGCTCTTGGGCGTTGCAAATGCAGGCATCAGCCAGCCCCAGTTTGAGTGCTGGCTTGTCACTGTATCAGCCGTGTGACTGTGGGCATGCGACTCTAAGTTCTCAAAGCCGGTGATGTACAGAATGGGGACACTCAGGCCTCCCCTGAGAACTCCTCCCCATCATCATCTGCATCTAGCCCCCAGAACTTGGAGGACAAATATTACTTTCCTTTCTCTCCTCATGCCTCAGGCTGACACCAGTGTAGACACATTTTATACCATTATTTAGAAGAACTCTATCAAAAACAAAGAAAAAACTTGTCTAAGAAGTTCCAAAAGCTAAGATGGGCTTAAGAGCATGATGATTTAAGACATCTTTTAAAAGCATGTCAGCAGTTTCCAGGAACCCAAACCAACTGAGAGCTTCAAATGGCACCATTTTTTCCCCTCCTAATTTAAAAAGAAATTCAATCCCTTAGTTTTGTTCTCAGTTTTAATGTGACTTATCTAGCCTGGGACAGCTGCCCAAGACCCATTAAAAGTGCTGATGGCTGGAGCCAGTGCAAAATATAAAGTGTAATATTTTACTGCCTATAAAGTGTTACTTAGTGACTTACTGCCTTCCCACCCAAGGAGAGGCCAGGGAGCAGGAGATGGGAGAGAAGGGAATTTTAACGTGTTTGAGAGCTTTGGAAGGGATTCAATGTTTTTTAGAAACTTTTCTTTAAACTGTACTTTTAAGCCACGTTTTTCTTTCAAAAGAAACATATCTTGGAATCCCAGTTTGCAAAACCGTTGGAAGGGGAACTTCTCCAATCACGGGGTAAGGATGGTTGGGAACTCTTTCTAGAGACTCCCCAGACCTCTCTGCTCTGGAGCGAAACCCAGTGACAATGTCCACCCTCCTCACTTCATGGGTGAGAAGGAGGGGCAGGGCCCAGGGCCACCTACTTACAGGCACCAGTCGGGAAGCAAGGGACACAGGGCCAGCACCCCGGGGGCAAGGGGCCAGGTCCTCAATGCCGGAGAGTTGATTGAAGAAGTTCTCCAGTGAACACCAAAGCTGCAGATGGTGACAGACTTGGAAAGGGCTCAAGTTCAAAGGCACTTTGCAGACAGGAGGAGAAAAGTCCAGGTAGGAAGCAGGAGGAAGAAAGGAAAGAGGACGTTGCAGACTGCAGAGAGCTTCCAGAGAGCAGATGGGAGGAAGGAAGAACAGGGTTGATGGAGCTCATTCTCCTGGTTCTTAGCAAGCACCGTGTGCAAGCTTAATTCATCCATGCTGAGAAGGAAGCGTTACAAGTTCTATGAAGGCTGGCGTCTGGCAGCCTTCAGCTGCGGGGAATGGCACCATCGTGAGGAACAGTGGTGCCCTGTGTGTTATGTAAAGAAAATCTTCCCATAAGTCTCAGCCAGGACCACACATTTGGTTGTCGATACCCCAGAAATGCAACTTGTCTTGTTTTCGTGTTTGATGAAGTCAAAGGTTGTGATACTATTTTTGTGAGTAAGTAGAGAACTGTCGTGATATATTTGTTTTAGTTCAACTTTACTTGGTAGTATGATTCTTGAAACAGAAGCACATCTTATTTCTCCTGGGAGACAGTGATATGAATATGTCAAAATGTATACGCTTAATCTTTTGGCAAATGCTGAGTACAGAAATTTCCAGCTACAAAGCATGACAAGTAAGTTTTTGTTTTTTTTTTTAACATTCAATAATTTATTTTCTGGATAGACCCAAGATACTAACTGGACTGTTGAACACATTTCTGATTTGAAATTGCTCAGCCATTTAGAGTTCTCTGAAGTAGACCAGGAAAGATGCCTAATCTTATAAATGGAGGTTTGGAAATTTAACCTAACCAACTCCAAACCCATCTAAAGCCTCGTGTGCAGGGGAACAGACCTGATCTCCCCAGCCCCCAGTGAGTTCCTGGGGGACACGGAGAGATTGTGATTCAGCCACCAGAGGGCACCAGAGCCAATACATTGCCCCCCCCCAAAAACCAATTTCACGTTGCTGAATTTAAGTAAGATGGAGAGAAATACCATGAGCAGATGTCTTCCCAGTCAGTAAGTGCTGGACCAAAATGACATTGACATGAACAGCCGCAAAGGCCACCCCCTCGGTGTGGCTGCCAGCCAGCATCGAGTGTGACTTGAGAAAGTGTGGCTTGTGTTAGGCGTCCCTGACGTGGTCGCACGTTCAAGAGACCCTGGACAGAAGCCTGAATGGCTTGTTCCCTGGGAAGGGCCTATGTGGGGTGATAGGACCCTACATCGCAAAGCAGACACAGGGGAGGGCAGTCGCCTGGAGAAAACAGACTCCACCGGCGTGTGCGTGTCTGCCTTGGGCCCTGGCCATGAAGAAGAGGGAAGATGAAAAAAGACCCCATGTTCAGCCGAGCTGTGTTCCAGAAGAAAGGCTCTGCCCTCAGTGCCTGCAGACAAGACAGAGGGGACGGCAGCCACCTGGGATGCTTCACCCAGGCACGCCTGTATGGGGAGAGAAAGACCAGACCAAACTTGTGGGTTGAAAGAAATGGGATCTCTCATCTTCAAGAAGCACACTCCAGAGCTGTCCTGTGTGCGTGAGTGGGGACTCCAGGCAGACTATTTAAAGCAATGCATGGCTCTGCCAGGAGGGGCGGAAGCAAAGGGACTTCAGAACAGGATTTCCTGACATCGCTTAGGAGCCTTTCACAGCAGG